TTACCTATGTCGTATTTAAACTAGCTTTTATCCTTAAAAAGTCGTTACGTTTCGAAAGTGAATTATTGTCAATTTATTATCGGTTGCCAGGCTTATGCATGTTTGCGATGGCTTAGGGATTCATTTGCAATTTGGTCCTGTACCGGTTGTAAGTGTGTGCTCCTATGCTGATAGTGTACATGCTTTTTTTTCTCTTTTTCTTTTTTTTTCTTCTTATTTGTTTTATTATGCTTATACTCAATTTTATTGTTAATTAATATTAGTTTTGCATTAAGAGCCTATTGAACTCGACTGTTACTTGTTTAGTTGAGTTTCTAGTATAAGTGGAATAAAATAAAATAAATAAAATAAAAAGTCTCCAAGCCCTTTTACTTGATACCCACCCATACGGACGGTATATTTAAGAAAAAATTTATCCACCATGTCGTTACGTCCATCACAATTAATTGAGAAATGACACACTTAGCTTGTCGCATTCTACTTTCCGCGTACATTTATTTGGTATACGTATCGCTGGTATTAGTCCTTAAATGCGTATTGCTGCCAATTATCTGTATCTTAGTCTCATTTCATTTTCAAAAAAAAATTTAAAGAGAAAAAAATTAAAAATAATGTGGCTACATAAAAAAAAAAAAAATGAGGTTTTAAAAATACGATCACAATTACATCGCCATGGTATGCAGTTAAGCGTTAAGAGAAATATTATGCCACCAGGTCGTGGTGGCCAGGTCGTGGCGGCCATAATACTTGTTTTAGAATTACAACATTTTTAGGCAGATAATATATCTTCGTTTGAGGAAAGTGAAAAAAATTGAAAATTTCCTCCCTTGTTTACGCACAAATTGTAAAGTTTTTTTGCAAAATATATTAAATTTGGAAAATTTCAAACTTCTGTATTTGATAAGGTGTGAATAGTGAGCCAAAAACCGCGATCAGTTTATGCTTCTCTGCGGGCTTATGCTCTTGACCAGTTTGGCCTTGGCCCATTTTCAATATTACTCGGCGTCCCAAAAATTCCAACGTTTCTACCAAATTTGTAGTCGATATCTTCATTTTTGCGACTTAGGGGAGTGAGTGCGAACAACATACACCACACAGAGGGACAGATATGGGATAAGGATATATGTACTTTATATGTACGGTCTCGAAAGCATCGTTTTGGTTGTTGGCAAACATTATAACAAAATGAGTATAACCCTGCCATTCGTGTTGGTGGTGGTGGTGGGTATAAAAATGAACATAAACGTCTAGTTTGTGAATTTAATTAAAATGCACAACACTGGATTTTAATATGCAAATTTAAGGGAACTTAAGTAAAAGTGAAATATTTGTTTTATTTTTAAAATTATTTAATATAAATAGAAAAATTAAATGATTTTTATATAACTTTCAGAGTTCAATTTCATGGCGCTCTGAAGTTACGCCAACAAATTAGAAGAAATTCTAAATTGTTATTTAAAAGACGGCATTAATTAAGCAACTGATAGCAATATTAGAACAACGTTACAATGTTTTCTTTCATTGATTAAAGGAGAACGATCGTTTTACGAAACTAGGAAGAACAGCCAGCGACAGTAGCAGCAGTAGCAGCAGCATCATCATCACCACCAGCAGTAGTAGTAGTAGTAATAGTAGTAACAACAACAACAACAACAACAACAACAACAATAGCGACAGCAGCAACTAACAACAAAACACAAAGAAAAAACAAAAAAAAAAAAAACAAAAACAAAAAAAAAAGAACACATGTAAACAAACAAAAAAAGTGAAAATGCTCCCACCTTCTGTCAAAGATGACACTCACACTATAAAAAGCGCAAGAACAATTTATCGAAAGAAGAAAAACAAAAAAAAAAACAAAAAAGAAAAAAAGCAAAAAAACCAAACAAAGGAAAACACAATTAATGTAACATTAATGTGACAAAAACTAGTAATTAACAGAAACAAAAGAAGGAATCCATTGTAAAAAGGAGAAATAAAAAAAAAGGAAAACAAGCAACGACTAAGTAAAGCAGAAAATCAGTTGTAACGTTTCTTTCTATATGCATACATAGATATTTTGTAAATAATTAATCCACATGGCAACGAGATGTTAACAAAATCAAACGACAAACAGAAAGCGCTACAAATTTGTAAGACAAACAAAATAAAAAGAAAAAAAAAAAGAAGATAAACAAATAAGCAAAAGAAAACTTCAACAATAACAACAAAGCAAACAACTAACAGTTCCGCCCATCACTACATCAACGATTTTGCAAAGAGAAGGAGAACTTAACCGAAATTAAACACAAACAAGCAGAAAATCATATTCATATATAAATATAAATACAATACGACAAACAACAGCAACAAATAACAACAACAACAAAATTATAATCCGAGCATAAACAGAAATACATGAGTATATGTAATGAAAAGAACTATCACCATAACTCTCACTTATACCAATCAACCACCATATTTTATGACATAAGTCACCATAAACCACCTTTTTGCCCAACCAAATGAAAACAAGAAAAAAAAGAAAAAAAGAAAATAGAAAGAAAACAAAAAAAAAGGAAAAGAACAACAACAACAAACAACACAAACAGCTCCTTGGCTTTTACAGATTTATCAGTTCATCATATATCTCCTTAATAATAAAGTTATTATATATTAGTTCGGGCACTAAGTGTCACCTTAACACACGCCTTGTTCACATCCAATAATGGCTGAGTTAGTGTTGTATGCAGCCTCTAATTTAAATCAAAACTAAAAAAAAACAACAACAACAACAACAACAAAAAAAAACACAAAGCAAATTATTTAATAATTTTTTGAATTGTAAATTTGAAAAAAAGCAGAAGAAAAAACAAAAATTTTCCTTCTTCTCGCATCATACCCATCACTAGTGGGGTGCCCTTGGAAATAATGCGCGACTTGTACTAGCGCTGCCCCTTAAATTATATTTCACTCCTTACCTTTTACCTATTTAACAATTAAGAAAAAGAGTCTGTGCGAAGGTACTTACGCCCGCGTATATATATATATATATATATATATATTTATGTACATATACATAAACATGTACATATACATATATATACATATATATGTAAATAAATATTTATGAACAATGATGCACTGTAAGCGAGAAATGTCGCTTATATAAGGTATATGGTGCGTTTATGTTCGGTTTTTTTTGTGGTTAGAAAATGCGTATCGCATCGAAAGGAATAAGTTGTAATCTTAAGAAACCGCAGACTGATGCAAGTGCTACGGATGGATTAATATTACCATTCCAAGAGCTTTCAATCGGTTTTAAAACGTGTGATGATGTTTACCTTAATCTTTTCTCCATTTTAATCATTTTAGTATCAAAGCGTAATTGATTTATATTGTTCAGTGACAGTATCAGTTCAGTATCAGTATTAGGAGTTTCATTTGATTTTGAAAGGTTATAACATAACGATAACGATAACGATGCCCCACACACTTTCCCTGATCCCATCAAACGAAGCATCTCATTTCCTTACAGAAACGCTTTAGACATTTGGCATATATCTGCGCTTAAAATTTCAAAACCGAAATTCCCTTGCATCTCTAATCATTATTTTCTTTTACCACTTTCGAAACGAACGTTTCCTTTCTAATGAGAGAGACACAAGAAAAACTTTACCTTTAGCAAAAATTACGGATAACTTTATTTAAACTTTCAATGAATTTGATAAATGAGATTTTTTAACTTAATTTCCTGGATGAGAATGCGCATTGTTAATCGGGTTACGCGTGAACGTCGGTCTATTTTTTTATTTCTTAATTGTTGTCCTTTTATTTATTTTATTTTAATGTATATATACTTTGTTTTGTTAAATAATTTTATTCTGTTTTTTCTATTACACTGGAAATTTGTTTCGAAAAATAAAAAAAGAGATTTTTTAATTTCAAAAATAAATTATAAGCACCTACGTAATTTGACGGATTGGAGCACATTCATTTCAAGAGAAAAGACGGCTTCGAAATTTTCACTTTAACAGCATCGACTCGACATCGACTGTCGTATAGTACAAGCCGTCAATAAACTTTCGATTACTAATCAATTTTGGTCGGAGAGATCTAGTATAGTTTAGTGTGGTTTATATAAACGTTTCATGTGTGACTTAAACAATGAGTTAATAATTGCATATAATTAGAAAAAAAAAAAAAAAAAATTTTTAACTTTGTTTCCAAAGATAAACTAGTGATTAAGAATTACTTTGTATACTTACATTCTGTATGTGACTTATTTGCTTATCTTGATGTGAGGACAAACTTAATTTCGTCGTTACGCTTATTATTGTAGGTCATCGAAAGTCTCATAGCTTATAACGACTCGTCGCGAAATAGCAACAATAAAATGAAATTTTTGCATAATAGTCGATAATAGGTTCTCTTCAATGCAAAACTAAGAATACATTTACTTCATGAATGATTCCATCGAACGCATTTGTTTTTTATCGCAAATTGAAAACCGATTAGTGGTTTTAGTCGGAATCGGTTATAATGTGTGCGAAAATTAAAATATTTGAAATTCATTACAAATATTCTTAATTAAGATTTTGAAGGGTATCAGTGACGTATCAACAAATTGTTCTAGTTGTGGCTGTGATATTTGAAAAGTGAAAAAACCGATTCGTCTTAAGCGAAGCGGTAGATATTCATCATTCAAGAGAACAATATATATATCTACATGGTTCCGACTTGACCTATGGTTAATTTTTCACTCTACTATAGTTTTGAAATTAGTTTTCAAAATATGTTGAAGTTTATCTAAATAGATACAGTTTTCTAATCAATGAAGTAAAGTGGAATATGTAAAATTTCAAATTCAATCTTTTTTCTTATTGATTACAGTTCACGCTATATTGGGCCGAAACGCATTACTGAATACCTTATACCACTAACTAACTGTAAAGTGGATTCGCCTAACGACTTTTCAAAATGAGACATTATGTAGAAAGTGGTCGAGAAATTGGGTCCGATTCAGACGCGTTATTGTCTAGGCCACAGCATGTCTGTGCAACCGAATTCATCAAAATGTCTTCAAGATTACACCAGGTTTGTTGAATACAAGAAAGCGAAGTGAATCAACGAACAGACAAGGTCAAATCGATTCAGGACGTAATTCCGAGCCGATCGGTGTATTAATATTCAGTTCCTTCTCTGCGCTCGAGGCAAAGGTGGTATAGAGTATAAAAACCACTTAAGACTAATTTATACACTTATCCATTACATAAGAGAACGAGAGTAACGAAATTGCAAGACATTTCTTTCGGTTGTTCATGATATCCTTGTGCCGAATTTCGATAATGATGAATTTTCTAAGCATTTTAGGGTATTCGGAAAGTCATTTTTTTGTTTCCTAATAGATGATTTAATTACATTTTTTCGACGCCAACTTCATAGTTAAGCCGAATTTGACAGATAACGTAGAAAGGATTGTTTATGGGAAAAGTTTGTTTACTCTGAGCCCCATTAAGTATCACAATGTTTTGATCATAAACGGCGAAAGATTTCCAACGATGGGACTAATTGTTAGTTTGAAATTAACATCAAATAAAAAATTGCTTCAAACGCGGGTTTTATACAAAAATGTGTTAATAAAATTTCAATATTTATTTTTCGAAAACAAAAATTTACTTTTCGTGTTTAAAACGAAAATTAAGTAAGAATATTCTAGTTTTATTCCCATCATCATTTCCCTCTAAAAAGACTCAAGAAAGGAGGAGAACGAATTTTGCATACTCTATAATATTGCGCGCGTGGCCGCGTGTGATCTTTTCCATTTTTGTACAGGTGCGGCCAGACCACACCCATAGAATATAAATGCAAATTTTTATAGTTGTATCTGTTGTGGCTTACAAAGTAAGAATTTGGTGCTAATCTAGAATATATATACTTTACGGGATGTCTGAAGCTTTCTTCAGGATATTGCAAAAAAAAAAAATATTTTAATAAAACGAATATACTCCTCATGCTTCGGTGGTGCGTATAATAACCCATCACAAGTACGGTACGTGTGATTGACGGTGCTGTGTGTGCTGATTTGATTCATTTAGAGAAATCTTCGCTCATGTCGAAAATAAACAGAAGTTAGAATGTCATATCGACAGAAAGAGGGACAGAAGAACATGCCTTTGCAAACATTTAGGAAAAATTAACAAAATTTCGATATTTTATAATATCGCGTGAATGGGTTGTACACTATCACCTGTATGTGCGCAAAATTTTTATTTTCCTATTCAACTTTATGAGTGACGAGCAAAATACCAACTCATTAACGAAAGATAGAATGTGATGGGTACAAAAGATCGACAAATTTAGATAGTTAATAGAAACTACCGTAGCAGCTAATTCGATTAAAACATATACAAAAATCGGTTTCAACAGAGTAGATTTTCAAAGTTTTTGAGAGTTTTTCAACTAACACTAAAATAAAAGTCCAAATTTTAGAAAGACTTTTTAAAAAACATAAAACAAAACAAGTAAGATAATTATATACGGTCGTGACTGAATCTTTTACACCCATCGCTGTAATCGTAAAAAAAGGAAAATAACAAAATTTTCATACTCTATAAGGGATGAGGGATATATTCATTTTGCCACACCGCTTGCAACGCCC